CCAAAGAACACATTACTCAGGGGAATGGGGACAGACATGAGAAGAATGAACAACGAATGGATAGAACTACAGAGAAAGGCTAAGGACAGAGTGGGTTGGAGAATAATGGTCGGCAGCCTATTATCCACTGGAGGTAACAGACACGGGAAAATTTTCATAATTTAATGATAAATACATAATATTATTCTGGTTTTATTGTTGATTTAAATATCATTTATAGACACTAGTCTTCTACATATTCTCACATTTCGCACCTATTCAATGAATTTTTTAAATGAAACTCCTTACTTTCCATTGAGTTATTCCATAATTCATTATTATTTTAGTAGTTGATTTCATGAGTCAGTTGAAGATAGACCACCATGGAAAACTTGGAAGCACTGAACGGCCATTTCGTTCTAGTATAGGACTCCTCAGTAATGCGTATCCACGATCCCGGCCCGCAAGGTTCGAACCCAGTACCTATCGGCGTTTAACCTCTAAACCATTGAGCCAGCATCCAACGGTGTTAATATCTAACTTCAACTAATCCACGAAGTTGCACCACCGTCCACCACTGTCATCAGTGAGTTACTATCTCATAATGGGCCCGGTTGAACTTCAGTGGTCCCTGCTTCTCACTAAAATTCGTGGAAACCTTTGATCCAAGCGCTGGTTCAACAACCCTTACTTCCTCTTAAAAGAATATAGTGATAATATTGGATGTTCAGTATCTTAGTTACTTATATGTTACCGCCCACAAATCTATTATATGTGGAATTTGTTCAATATATATATATTTCAGCCTAGATTTATATTTTCAATGGCATCCATCAAAACTGACTTTTATTTTGAATAAAATATAAGTAATATAATCGATGTTAGATGGTTGAAGGTAGTCGAGAGGAAATTGTGGAACTAGGTTTCATGTTATACGGCATTCGACAGTATGACTTACCTCCAACCTTGAGAAAATTGATGCTTTCTGTTAGATTCGAATGAGAGACACTTATCTTTACAAGCTGACATTTTATTACTCAGGTATCTAACCCTCAACTCTAATAATGACTATAATTGGAATATCACAGAGTTTATCAAGAGATACTCATCAATGATGCATGGTATCTAGTAAGGAATCTATGATCACAGTTTTCTTATGATTATTTGTAACCATCAAACATTAAAATAGTTTAACTGATCTCTAGGCACGTAAACTAGTGATCATACTACAACTTGATTGATTGATTCCAATTCAATGGTAATGACTGAGTAACCATAGTTTTCTTAGCAAATCACTAGTAAAGCAATCAAATTTCAAACTAATTAAGTGAATATTCGACCTTCTTAATTATAACCCTATACATATACACACAAGAAATTTTCATATGTTGGTAACAATCCACACATCTAATATAATCAGAATGGGTTTTGTGGAGATTTTAGAAATTTCACAGATTGAAATCATGAGTCAGTTGAAGCTAGACCACCATTGAAAACCTGGAAGCACTGGACGACCGTTTCGTCCTAGTATGGGACTCCTCAGCAGTGCGCATCCACGATCCCGCAGCACGCGGGGCTCGAACCCAGGATCTACTGGCTCCGCGCGCGAGCACTTAACCACTAGACCACTGAGCCGGCATCCAACGGTGTTAATGTCTAACTTCAACCAATCCACGAAGTTGCGCCACTGTACATCATTGTCTTCAGTGAGTTCCTATCTCACAACAGACCTGGTGGATGCGCACTGCTGAGGAGTCCCATACCAGGACGAAACAGTCGTCCAGTGCTTCCAGATTTTCAATGGTGGTCTAGCTTCAACTGACTCATGATTTCAATCTGTGAAACATCTAATATAGTTATCAAAAATATTATCAAAAATGCTAATGATCTGGATCAAATGTAGTGGTTCAAAGGGTAATGTACCAACAGTCAAGTTTAAGAAATGATCAATTTGTCTAACAAAAATAATTGTTAATACATATTTTGATTTCCCAGATCTGTTATACATTTCAAAGAATCTATATAATTGAAATAAAGAGCATCTCTTTTAAACTTGAAAGAAATGAAATTATATATAAGGAAACGATGTATAAAGTACTCTAATGAAAGATAGATAGTGGATAGCAGTGGTGGAATTCAGTTTGATGCACGTCTCGTCCTATTTTGGACTTGTCAGCTGGATGTACCTGCATCATAGAGTTGATGTTCACTCTGGGACTCGAACCAAGTACTGTTTGCTTCAAATGCCATCATGTTATCTACTTAGCTACTGAATGCTGATAGCTACTTGCTTGTGCAATGGGACGAAGTTTAAATTCACTCGGTATGACGAGTCTTAAAGAGGACGAAACGCGCGTCAAACTGGATTCCACTTCTAGCCACTATCGATCTATGTTTTAAATGCTTGTGAATTTCGAGGCAAACCGTACAGTATGCACATATGCTAATAAGAAACTGACCAATCACAGTCTTAAACATCAATGGGAAGATTTAAACAAACAATACCAAGTGGATTTAGTGCATGAATTAGATGGTGGTTGGAGGTAGTCAACAGGAAACCCTGGACCCGGGTTTCGTGCTACTTGGCACTTGTCAGCAAGGTGTACCTGTAATCTTGAGGGAACTGGTGCTCCCTGGCGGATTCGATCTCGTGTCACCCAGCTTCACAGTCAGAGACGTTACCACTGAGCTACCCGAGCCGTGACTGACCTCCTGTAGGACTGAGATGTAATCACAATTGATTGATCACTGGGTGGTGATCAATCTCATGCTTGTCTAGTCCTTATTAGTCCAGGGTTTCCTGTTGACTACCTCCAACCACCATCTAATCTCAATACATAGTGCCGCAGTGTCGAGTCACCTAGACTGGTGGCCACATTGCAACATGATCGATAGCATTCGATCTGCACTAATAAGGACTAGACAAGCATGAGATTGATCACCACCCAGTGATCAATCAATTGTGAGTGCATGAATTAATTTATTTATAATCTGTTAACAAAATTGATGATTGCTGAACGACAGTACCCAAATGGAATTGTAATTCACATTGATATCAGTAGTAATAATAATAATAATCACTTTATTTCAAAATAGAAACGTTATTATTCTTAGAAATTTTCGGCACTAGTCATCCTATTCTACAATAACCCTTTTTTGTAAATACTTTGACTGTTAAAAAAATCCAAAAAAATATAGCCTTTTAGTTATTTTCCAGTGGTCATTGAACTTCAACTGCTAAGCTTTCCAACCAGTTCAGATGTTACAAATATTTTCTCCACATCGACTACCACGGAGCGTAATGTTTACTGGTGTTGGGGATGGTTGGGAGAAAGTTAGGGGCAGTCAAAACAAAACGTGGCATCAGTGCTTGAAGTCACTAACTTCTAGTCTGAGCCACGTTGGTAGATGCAGACTACTTGGTTGGGCTGCGCGTGACTATCGTAACCAACGGTTGTAGACTCTTGGTGACATGGCTCAGAATCAATCACAATGGCGTCGGTGTATACACTCTCTGTCTTCCATTAAACTAAGAGATTAAAATCGCCTCATATCTTTTTTTCTACCAACTAATTCTTTCTTCCTGTACTATATCCTTATTGCAAACTTTCCTTTATATATTACCACCCCTGAATTAACTACTTTTATGAATCCGGTGTTCATATTGTTGTGTTAGTGCGGTATGGCAACTTGGACCGATGCACATATGTGGCCGCTCCTACATTGTAGCTAACTGACTGACTGACTGACTGACTCATTCATTTTACATTGGATAAATAAGTGTAGTCACCTCTCAATAAATCACTTAGTATACAAACAGGAAAATTTCCTAATAAATGCAGTGCTTCTATAAGAGTTTTTCAATAGTTAATATCTTGATAAGTTATAAGATTCTATTAAAACTGTATAACTGCATACCATTAAAAGTCGTATTTATTCAGTTTAAACAAAATCTACAACTGGAACATTTGTTGCAATATATTCATATCATTGGGAAATGGATGACTTAAATAGTTGGGAATGAGACACTAGTAGAATCATTGCTTTTATTTAATGCTATCACATAATAGTCAATAGTCAATTTATAGTCATCATTCTGATTGTTGTTAATGTTATTATTAGAATTTTATAGTTGAATCCATGAGTCAGTCAAAGCTAGATCACGATGAAAGACCTAGAAGTACTGGACGGCCATTTCGTCCTAGTATGGGACTCCTCAGCAGTGCTCATCCACGATCCTACACAACGGATTCGAACCCAGAACCTATCAGTCTCGAGTGCGAATGCTTAACCTCTAGACCATTGAGCCGGTGTCCAATAATGTTAATGTCTTACTTCAACCAATCCACGAATTATTATTATTATTATTATTATTATTATTATTATTATTATTAGTAGTAGTAGTAGTAGTAGTAGTAGTAGTAGTAGTAGTAGTAGTAATGGTAATATCATTATTATTCTTTGCAGTAGTATAGATTACAATCTTCCTTTTTATCAAATGATAAGTATCAGTTGATATGAAATACAATAGTTAGATAAACATCTCTATACTGAATTCTTTATTCTGAATGGTCACTATAATGAATGTGCGTTCACATTCATACACTAGACACTAACTCATTACACTTGTGTATTGTGATACAATAGAATTTATATACAATCATACATACTTAAAGTTATTTCTATCCTCTCATAAATTAGAAGAACAAATGGATAACAAATTCTGTGGAGACAATATCTACAAGAGTGATCATACTACTACTAGTTGGCTACCTACCAAAAACCACAGTTACAATCAGAATAAAACTAACAGTAGGTAAAACCACACACACATACACACACACACACATACACACTCAGATATACATATTTACCGAGGAAATCTAGTCCAATGATAAATAACCACAGGGATGAAAGACTATTAACAACAAGAAAAATAAGCGATGAGAATAAATAAAAAAAGAAAGGCAATTTATCATGTTAAACCAATAGAAAATGAATGAAAGAAGAAGAAGAAGAATAAAAGAAAGAAAGAAAGAAAGAAATCTGTTTCCAACTATTACTACTCTCTATCTAATAGGAGAAAAAAAAACTAGGGTGGAGAGGATTCACCAGAACAGAAAAGAACCAACAACAAAAAGAAAGAAGAAAAAGAAAAGGGAACAGAAGAAGGTAATCTGTCAGAATGAACAAACATTCATCAATCCTACTATCTTTATTATTGAAGATTTGAAGAAACTGTGATGAAAGTATTATCACTTTCAGTATTGTGAATACTAACAATAATGATGATAATCATAACAATGACAACAACAACAACAACAACAACAAGAAGTCTACTCATGTCTATTCAGTAATTGAAAAGGTAAATAAATAAAAGAAAAAAAGATGTAAGTCAATAACAAAATCCTGATAGTGATATAACAACAGAGTCATTGCATAACAATGAACTGAATATATATATATACGTGTATCTATGCTAGGTAAATAGTCGTCAAGGCAAAGAAACTGATTTATCATATGAACAGAATGAATACTACTACTATTACTACTACTACTAGTACTACTACTACTACTACTACTAGTACCACTACTAATCCATTTATATGGAATCAATTAATGCATTATATCACAAATCATAAACAACAACAAACCATCAATAATGATCATATGGATACAAATATACTTAATCATTCTTATTATCCATGTATGAATTCAATAGGAATTATATCAAAAGATTCATTCTCATCAATTGATTATGATTATGTAAATAATAAAGAACAAATGAATACTGCCACTATGATGACAATGATTATGAATTCAGACTTGATGATGTCAATGTCTAATACAAAACAAAATACTGTGAATAATAATCAACTATTAACTTCACTTGCATCATCACCAATCACAACGAATACAACATCTTCATCATTGTCACCAACGACTTCAGTTTATCATCATCATCATAATCATCATCAGTATTATCATCAAACATCTCCATGTTCTTCACCTGTTTCTCCTCTTCCATCATTTCATCATCAACATCGTTATCATCATAATCATGTTAAACGTCCAATGAATGCATTTATGGTATGGTCACGTGGTCAACGACGTAAAATGGCTCAAGCTAATCCAAAAATGCATAATTCTGAAATAAGTAAACGTTTAGGTATTGAATGGAAATTATTAACAGATAATGAAAAACGTCCATTTATTGATGAAGCTAAACGTTTAAGAATGAATCATATGAAAGCATATCCAGATTATAAATATAGACCAAGAAGAAAATTAAAACATTCAAGAAAACAAGAAAAATTTACACAATCACAACCATCACTACCACTACCACTACCACTACCACCACCACCTATTCAAGGTAAGTAATGTAAATCAATAATACTAATGATATTGATAATGATAATGTTGTTTACAAAAGTAGTGGTTACTAATATCAATGAAACTATCATATTGATCAACTCTATACTCAAATGAATAATATCCGTTAGTGAAATCAATCAATATTAAGGAATACTAGAAAGTTGTTTTTGGTTACTTATCACTAAGGAGGCTGTGAAGATTATTGAGTTTTTGTTTGAGATCATGAACGGATTAATGTGAGACTACCATTGTAAACCTGGAAACACTAAATGGCTGTTTCATCCTATTGCGGAACTCTTCAGCAGTGTTCATTCATGATCCTGCACGAGGGATACGATTCATGTGAGCAGGATTTTAGGTTATTATTTGAAAAATACTTTAATAATTTACTGCGGTAAACATAATAATAGTAACAATACAACCAGAGAGAACTACAAATCAAATTCAGTCTCCGCAAAATAAGCTGCTAATCACTTATGCTTAATTATTTCCGAAGTTCGTTAATAAAGTTGTTTAAATGGACCATGAAAGCTTCATGATTAAATGAGCATAGAGCCTTCACAAACTTCCTAAGCTAAATATATTTACCATTGTGTATCAGAGATGTGAATTACATGCCAGTTTCCGAAGCCATTACTTTGTCTGATTACAGTCTAGTTGACAAACATGTCTTGTTCTTATTGAACATAACAACACTGAAGTCTGTTATATATTTAAGTAAATTAACCAAATAAAATTCACTGACTTTTATTGTTCACTTGAAAGCTATTTGCTATCCATAGGGATTTATTCATTCTATTCACTCACTCTTTGGACTATAAGTATTGAACATTTCAGGTAATATATAGCTTACTTCACTCATTAACTTTAGCATGACAATCATTGAAAACCATGGAGTACTGAATAGGAGTAATGTCTCAGTATAATTCTCCCCAACAACAAACACATGTTATTCTGATGAAGGTACTTAGCATTCAGCAATCTAGATGTCAAAATAACATAGTCATCACAGATGGCATTGAATAATCTTCGTGAACTATAGTGAATGAACTAAATTTGAAAATGTTAATCACTTCATGTTAAAACACTGATCTAAATGTAGCTTACCGCTTAGCTTAAAGACTTTACATTCTCTTTCTGACAGTGTTGTGGTTATGAACTGCTGAGAAGATCTATATCATCATGGAACAGCTATTCAGTGCTCCCAGGTTTTCAGTGACTATTCAGGTAAATTTAGATTGTGATTAAAGGCATCTTCAAACTGAATGATCTCTACAAACGATGACAAAATTATATTATTACCAAGAAAATTTCATGGAATAATTTAGTCATTGTATGGATAATCAATAACCATGAATTGCAATATCTAATACTAAAACAAAATCTTTTCAATAAAGTGATCGATCTACTCAAAGTGTTTGGTAATTACTTACTTTACTTACTCACGCCTATTACTCGTGAAGAAGAATAGGCCGCCGATCAACATTCTCTAATCCACTCTGTCCTGGGCTTTCCTCTTTAGTTCTATCCAATTAGTATTCATTCTTCTCATGTCTGTCTCCATTTCTTGGCGTAATGTGTTCTTTGGTCTTCCTCTTCTCCTTTGACGTTGAGGATTCTATGTGAGGACTTGCGTTGTGATCCAGTTGAGTGCTTTCCTCAATATATATCCTATGTCACTTTCATCGCTTCTTCATGATTTCTTCCTTTACTGGGATCTGGTTTGTTATGGTATTATATGGATAAAGATGTTCAACAGGGAATTTCCGATCTGAAATTTCCACTTACTTCAAAGGTTATTTTCATTTGAATTCGCTTAACTCATTCATTTGATGATGTGAATGTTATAAAACTCTTTTTTTTTCATCCTAAATTCATTAAGTTGGTTAGTCAACTCCATCAAATTCAATATACATATAGATGTATATTCAAGTATGATTAATATTTCAGTCAGGGATATCATTCTATGTGTCTATAGTATGCTGGGTAACATCTTTTGACAACAATGTCATGCTCAATGATAGTTGATTTAATAGACTTTTTAGCATAATTATTGTCTAAACCATTATCTTCTGTTTGTTCAGTACTTGCATAATCTCTCATTTCAAATGTACATGAATGAATTATCAACTTATTCACTTGTATTTAAATAACTGAATTCATGAGTCAATCAAAGCTAGACCACCATGGAAAAGTCTAGAAGCAATGAACGACTGCCTCTTCCTAATATGAGACAATACAGCAGTATGTATTCACGATCCTGTACGTGGGAGTCGAACCCAAGACCTGTCGGTTTTGCGCACGGACGCTTAACCTTTAGACCATTGAGCCGGCATTCGATAGTGTTAATGTTTAAATTTAACGAATTCACGAAATTACGCCACCGTCCATCATTGTCTTTAGTGGGTTACTATCTCACAAAAGACCTCGTTGAACTTAACTGATTATGCCTTCTCACTAGAACTCTAGGAAATACCTCTTAAAACCAGTCACTAGTGACCAGATTATGATGATTATCATAATAGGGTTTTGTGAAAATTCATACTAGGATGAATCGGCCCTCCAGTGCTTCCAGGTTTTTCATGGTGGTGAATTCAACTAGTAACTTACTAAAATCTCTATAAAACCTCCTTCTTTCAATTCATCATCAGTTAACGTCAATATTGTCATTGAGCACATGACAATCCGATGTGTGCAACAAACTAAATGATTAAAAGAAAACAACATCTGTGTCGTTCGATTAAGCTAAACTATTCTGAGTTATCTTATTTGTCAAAAGTTATTTGAACATTAGACGATTTAAACGTTTTAAACAAAAAACCTTCAAAATTAAATTTGGCGCAGTTTTTTAACTCATTAACTCTAAGTCATCATTTATGTATGAAAAGTTCAGTAAAGAAGAATGAATTTCAAGCTGTTTTGTGACGGTTTAAAATCTAGTGGTGTAATCATTGCATAGAACTTTAAAGAAAGTCTTGAATTCTGCAGTCTTTCGACTGATGAAATCTGTTTAAGAATAACATTCATGTATTACATTGTTTTTCAAAAAGACTGATTATTGACCTAAAATAGATTATACTACTATCAAATTTGATATACTACTGAAATGAACTTAAGTGTTATCTTAGGAGTTGTGTTTTAAAGACTTCATCATTCAAGTTGATGACATCTTAGTTAATCATCTTAATGTTCAACGAAACAAGATAAGAGTTAAAATAGTTGTGTGAATCCACTATATTTTACTCACACATTTATATAGATATCGGTTACCGATTGGAATTAATCCGATAACTAGTTTTTACATCTGAATGTAATACTCTTCATTAGTTGTGTATGCCGTCCAACACACACAGGATATAGCTTTGGAAATTCCTATTCGACGATTCGAGTAATATTTATAGAGTTAGAATTCAATGATTCATCTGTTTTTATAGAGTGAAGTTAATTTCTGAGAAGAAATCTGAGTTTTATTGATAAAATAATAATAAACTCATTGAAACTACGACACAATCGTAATTAGACAATGTTGAAAACGTGAATGGTACTAAATATCCATTTCCCTTTAGTATGGGACTCCTCAACAGTGGACATCCATGATCTCTTTCTGATTATTCGTTTGAAATGCATGATGTAGACATTTTCTTAAAGTATCGATTAGTAATGATATAAACAGCATACTTTTTTTCAACTGCACAATAAAAATCATCTGTTTCCGGACCAAATTCTTGCATAAATGTGAATCATTGTACATTTTATCATATAGGAATATTTCCTTAGGGTTTCATATCTGTACTGACTGCAACAGGCGTAAGTAAAGTAAAGTAAAGTAAGTAAGTAGGCAAAATTAGCAAATAATTAAGTACATAAGTAAAGCAAAGTTGGTAAGTAAGCAAAGTAAATTAAGCAAGTATTCACCATAATGAACTAATTTACGAAAATTGATTTCGTCTTCCATATCAATGTCATGTATTGGTGAAGTCAAATGACTTTCGATATGTTGAATGTTATGGGTAAAAGAAATAGAAAAGTGATAATATCGCTCATCTGTAAAATGAGATTACCTCTGGTTTATATTTAGCCAATAACTTAATGATGGAATTATGTAAATGTCAGCATAGATCATAGATTGAATATTGTTGAAAATGTCATTGATTAACTTCCAAATGATCAATCTAATGGTATCATCCTTACTGTAAGAATATAAAAAATCTCTATGTTAACTACGATCCTTTCTTCAATAGTAGATATGTCTTTTGTAATATCCTAATCAGTAAAAAAAATTACTTCTTTCCCGGTTATTTATTTACTCTGAAGAAGCATCTTAAATTAAATGACGAAACATCGTCAAAAATACAATTTTTGTACTCATAGAGATATGATTTTTAAAAATGTATTTATTATTAACTTTCTAACCACTGGTCAACATAGATGAACCTATCAACTTCAAACTAGGTATTTGATCCTTTCTTATTTATCAGAGATATCTCTGATAAGAAGAGGATTGTGAAGATAATTGAGTTAATCAGTGTATTTAATCAGTCTCTTATTGCTATATATATGCATTCTATGTAGACTGTCTCGAAATTACTCTCATTCACAAGCATTATAAATAAAATGATGGATGTGGTGGGGCTAGCAGTGGAATCCACGATACACATTTCATCTCAGATAGCTTGTAACTTAAAGTAATATTGAGGCAACACGCATAGTATGCAAATATGCCAAATACGCCACACTGATCAATCGCAACCGCAAACATCAATACAATGATTCAAACAAACAATACAAAGTGAATGTGAGCAATAACACTTCAATAATTAAATCATTCAAATGAATATCATTGATCAATCGTCAATAGTAAGATCATCTACATAATTATTATTATCAGTAATGATCAATGGGAAAACTATATATATCACTTTAGGGAATCAATTCGAATCAAGACGGAAGATTAGTTTTCTGTGGATAACTAAAACAATATGATCTGTAATGTTTCAA